GGCAAACTCGGCATCACTGTCGCACAGGAGTCAGTAACTGTGGCCTTGGGCAAGGTGACAGGACCAGGCCCAAGCACTGCTGGCCACCAACAGGTGGGGCGCAGTGGGCTCCATCCCCACCTGGCTGTATGCCCAAGCAGCAGGACCCTAGCTGGCCTGTGGCTCAGTCCCCACCCATCTGGTCCTGGGCTTCCCCCTCCCTCCTCTTCCACCTGCTGCACCTGTCCCTTCTATCCCTCCTGTCCCTCACCGCTAAGAGGCTCTGGGTGAGCTTGGATGCACCTGCTAACATGTCCGCTGTGTCACAGCAAAAGAACTGGGGCGATGTGGTTGGTCCCCCCCCAAAGTGGGGGAAAGAGTAGCAGGTCTCAGAAAAGACTTCCAAGCTGGGCATGGTGGTGCACACCTGTAATCCCAGCACTCAGGAGGCTGAGGCAGGAGGATCGTTGCAAGTTTGAGACCAGCCTGGGCTACAAAGTGAGCTCAAGGCCAGCCTGAACTGCGTAGTGAGACCCTGTCTCAAAAAGACAAACAAAAAGAAAGATCTGCCATGGAGTCCCATCCCCAAAGAACCAGGGTGTCACTGGGGCCTCCACCAGTTCCCTGCAGAAGGGGAAAGCACTTACTTAGCAGTGGAATAACCTAGCTAAGTGGTCAAGGTCAACAGCGCTATTCTGAGGTCAGCCTGGACTACACAGCAAGACCCTGTCTGAAAAGAAAAAAATGAAAATGAAAAAAAATGAAAAGGCCTAGAAACATAGCTGAGTGTGAACATCCTGGGTTCAATCCCCAGCATTCAAAAGAAGAAAAAAACAGAAAAAGCTTCCAAGGGAGTCCCAGGCAGCTCCCGGGTGGATAGGCACAGTGGGCACTGCGAGGCCCAGGTGGCAGGAGGACTCAGATCTCTCCACGGCTAATGGCCCCTGTTGAGGTGGACGCTGAATCCCAGAATGACATTTCAGCCCTGACCCTGGGGACCTGGGGCCCTATTTGGAAATGGGGTCTGAGGTAGGGGAGTTAAGACGGAGTCACACTGGGTTAGGAAGGGCCTCTGGCTAGCGGACGGGTCCTGGTAGGATGCAGGGACGCAAAGGAGGAGACAGGCTTGCGACCTCCACCTCCAAAGTGCGACTGCTTGCGTTTCTGCCATTTATGCCCATCCCTGGAGCTCTGGGAAACGGCCCAGAATCCCCCCCAACCAGAAAGGCTGGCTCTGCCCCCACAGCCCCTCCCCCAGCACGGCCGGCCAGGGCAGGGCGATGCCCACCAAAGGGCTTCCTGGAAGAAGACATCCCGCTCTCCCGGGCTCCCTTGCTCTGCCGGTAACTGTGGAGAGCTGGCGGCCAGACCTCTGCTGCCTGCTGCCCCGCATCAGCGGAGGAGCAGTCGATGCGGCCGCGAGGTGTCTGCACAACGCTTCCCTGTGCGGCCGGCTGGCTTCCCAGCACCCAGCTGCCTGGCAGAGCAGCGCCCTTCCTGGACAGGTGGACGGACCGAGGCCCTCCCGACAGCCCTGTGGCCCCTATCCCAGAAAGGGGCCCTGGGGAGCTTGTGGAGGCTGCACTCCCAGCACCAAGGGATGAAGGGGTGGTGTGTGCAAAAGCGGGGAAGGCGGCTGGACACGGTGCAGTGGCTTTGGGAGGGGGCCGGGCACTGGGGCAGCAATGGAGGGTGGGGCTGTGGCTTGGACCCTCAGGGACACCCCAGGCACAGCTAAGGGGAGGTTGGGAGGGGACAGGGGGCCTGGGGAACCCTGAGAAATGCAGAGTGGCCCTGCGTTAGGGTTCAGTACAGGGCAGGGACAAATCAGGCACAGCAGAAGAATGAGGACTGTCAGCAGGGGAGCTGCTGTCTCACCCAGCCCCCACCGCCAATGTGCCACGGACCCAAGCATATGTGCAGCACATCCTCACAAAAACCTCCCATTGACGGCACAATTCACAACTTCACCACCCAAGTGACACGGGAGCCAAGGTCACACGGAAACACAGACACCCACTGTCACCCAGGCAGGGTTCACAGCAGCCTGGAGGCGGAACAGCACAGCAGTCCACGGATGGATGAATACACACAGCGAGGCCCAGCCACGCCCTGGAACACCACTCCGCGGGGAAAGAAGCGCGGCTGACACTCGCCGTGGTGTGGACAGACCCTGAGGACCCCACGCTCAGTGAAACGCCAGACACAAGGGACACACAGCGTGGGCTCTGAGGACAGCAAATGCCCAGGACAGGCAATTCCAGAGACAGGAAGTGGTCTCAGGTGCTGGGGCTGGAGCGGGGACGGGTGATGCTCATGGGGATGGTGTTTGTGGAATGATGATAATGCTCTAGAATTAGTGCAATGGTTGCACAGCTCGGTGAATTTATAAAGAACCGCAGAGCTGTGCACTTTGAAACGGTGGCTTTGCTATTACATGAATCACATTTTAATTTAAAAGGAAAGGAAAAAAAAAAGGAAGCACAGCCACATGTCTACGGCCACCAACGCACCTGCAACCCTGGGACGGGTGATCCCCATGGGGGCCGTTGAGCTGTTCCAGGTCACTGACCGGGGACATCAGGGCCCGAGTGGCTTCCTGTGGCCCCTGGAGACAGAGGCTTAGCAGGGACGAGCAGGGCCCTTCCTCGGAGAGGCAGGTGGTGGTCCGAGGGCCAGGGCTGGCGGAGGACGGCGCCTGGACTGTCCTGGTGGTCGGAGAGGAAGGAAGGCTCCAGGGGAGGCCATGCTGGCTCAGGCAGGGCGGATAGGGTGACAGGAGTGACTGCGCTTCTGTCCCCCATGTGAAAGATACAAACATCTGTGAGCCTCCCCACGGGGATAGGGGACTAAATAACCAGGTAGCACGCAGGAGGGACAGCTGGCCCTGCAGAACTTCCACTGCTTGAGAAGGAAGGATGCCAAAGTCAGCGACAACACCCAGGAAGACCCACAATGAAGAAGCCGTGCCTGGTGTACACCTGTAATCCCAGAGATCGGGAGGCTGAGGTAGGAGGATCAGTGTGAGTTTGAGACCACCCTGAGCTACATAGTAAGTTCAAGGCCAGCCTGAACTATAGAGCAAGACCCTGTCTCAAACAGACAAACAAAAAAGAAAGATCAGCCATGGAGCCCCATTCCCCAGAGGACTAGGGTGTCACTGGGGCCTCCACCGGCTCCCAGGGGAAGGGGAAAGCGGTCACTCACCAGTGGAGGAACCTAGCCAAGTGGTCAAGGTCAACACTGCTATCAAACGCGTCCTCACCAGGGCCCCCGACACAGTCCCAGAAGAGGATACAACACCACAATTGTGGGATTCCTGAGGGCGGCAGAACCTGAGCCATCATCAGACACCACCAGGTAGAGCCAACCAGGGACACCCTGCACATGGCCGGCCAGTTCCTTCGGAGGACGTCAGTGGGGAGCATCAAGTTCCTGGCCTTGCACCAAGGTGACTTCTGCACCATGACGAGCATACCACAGCGGTAAGAGACCGTTCCCTTCTGGAGCGGGAGAGGGCGCCTGGGACTCTCGGTTTCTGCAACTGTTCTATAAATCTGAAATGCCTTAACCAGCCACACCGGTGCACTCCTGTCATCCCAGCTACGTGGGGCAAGAGGATTGCTAGCTTAAGGTCAGTTTGGGCAACCTAGTGGTTTAGCCTGGCTTTTTTTGTTGTCCTTTTGAGGGGGTTTTGGTTCTGGGCATCAAACCCAGGGGCTCTCTACCACTGAGCTACAAGCCCAGCTGTTTTTTAAATTTTGAGATGGGGTCTTGTTAGGTTGCCCAGGCAAAACTCAAATTTGCAATCCTCCTGTCTCAGCCTCCCTAAATACTAGGATTACTGGCACATGCCACTATGCCTGGCTAAAATAATCTTTTTTTTCTCCAAAAAACCCTTTGTGTCTAGAATGGGACCGCGCGGAGCCACTGGCCCAAGACATATCCACAGCAGGGCTGGGACTCAGACTTGACTGCTGCATTCCCAAGAGCAGCCCCTAGGCTGGGAGCTCCCTCCGCCCCCTCCCTAGTGTACGTGGAGAACCCCCAGGTGGAAGCACGGTGGACCCTTATTCATTCAGTGGTTTCATCCTTTCTTGCAGGGCCAAGAGGGGACCCTGAGGGGAAACTGAAGCCAAGGCCAACCCCAGGGTTGGGAGTGGAGCACAGGGGAGGGAAATTAGGAAGGCTCAGCAAAAACAAAAATGGCTTGGCTTTCTCCCTCTGGGCAAAAAGAGCCAGCTGGGTCATCTCCTTTCTCTTTTTCCTTAGGCTGCTGGGAAACTTGGGGCTCCAGTTTCATGTCCAGCTGTCAATGACAGCCTGTGGGTCTGTTTCTCTCCTCTCTCCCAACAGAGCAACTCTGGGTTTTCCATTCCAGCGCCTTCTGGTTTACACAACAGCCAGAAGCATTTCTGGAGCAGGCAGGATGTGCCCCAGGCCACCGAAGGGCTTTGCTGTCCTGTTTCTGCTGCCACACAAACTATGCAGACTTTGCAGCTCAGAGCAACACAGTTGCTTCCTCTCAGTCTGCAGGGCAGCCGTCTATGGTCCGGGCAGAGTGGCAGGGCCGCTCCCCAGAGCCTCGGGGTTGCCGTCCCAGCTCCTGGGCCCCCAACCCTCCCTCCATCTGCAGAGCCAGCAGCAAGAAGTCTCAGCCTCTCACCCCTTCTCCCCGCAGGCACTGGAGACTGAACCAGGGCCTCCTCTGTTTGTTTTATTTTGAGACAGGGTCTTGCTGAATCACTAAATTACTCAGGGGTGGGGGCTTGAACTCGAGACCTCCCTCAAGTGCCAGCACAGCGCAGCTTGGGTGAGAGGATGCCATGAGCCTTGGGGATGGCCGCCGGCGACTCTCGGTCTCGTCTCCGCAGAGAAGCTGCCCCCCACCCCCCCACACACAAATGATGCTCCAGGTTCTCAGGCGGGTCACAAAGCCAGCCACCTCCCTGTGTCCCACCCCACGCTGCCTGAGGCCAAGCCAAGGTCATCAGCCCCAGGTGCAAGCTGCCGTCCCTTACCTGAGGAACGTCACTGCTCGTAGACAGGAATCCAGGGGCGGTGGCCGCAGTAGTGTAGCTGGCATTGGGGCAGGGCGGGCTGTCCAGAAAGGAGACCGGGCTCGAGAATGCACTGGGGGAGGAGACAGAGAAGGTGACCACTGGGCACAGCGGGGATGCTGGGGCCGGCACTGCAGCCCCACCCGTGCCCAAGCGGGAATTTGGCCACACGGACACTCACAGGGCGGGCACTGAGGCACGCAGAGCCCCGCTTATGCACCAGCCCACTCTGCCCTGCACAGCCTCGGCTCTGCCCCCTCCTGTGGGCTGGGCCCAGGGCTGCCCTCTCTGTCCCGCAGCAGGCTCAGGGCTACTGCGTCCCAGGTGGAGTCTCCCTAAGACCTTCATGTCTCCACAGAGCCCTGGTCTAGGATCCTCCCTACTCCTGCCCAGAGAAAGACAAGGACCTTTCCAAGGTCTCCCTGAGCCACCCTAGGGGGGTGGCTCCATTCGGGGCCTGAGTCCCATGCTCATCGCAGAGTGCCGAGGCACAACAGGCCACAGCCAGTGTCACTTCGCCCCAGCTCACACTGTGACAAGCGGACGGGAGTACACCCCAGGATCGGGGCACCTCGCTCCCAGGGCAGGATCCACTCCCATGCACCCTGCCCTGTCACCCAAGGTGGCCAGGGACAGAGCAGAGGCATGGTGAGGCCAGGGAGTCCTTGACCTGAACAATCAAATCTCACACCTGGACAGGAGACAAGGGGAGGGGACGGCGCCCTTCAGGGCCCTCAGCACACCCAGCTCCGAGCTCTCAGGCTGCCTTGGTCCACGAAGCTCCTACTCCTGCCCTTACTAGGTTTCTGGAGAATATTTCCCACCTTCACCCCAGTATCTTCTGGAATCCCCCACTCAGCTCTGCTTGCAGTGTTGCCAGGTCCTCCGCACGCACTGCTGCTTCTGCTTGGGATTTCCTTGTTGGCTGTGTTCCCCAGCAAACTCCTACCCATCCATCAAAACCCGGTTCAGCCACTGCCCTGTGCAGGAGAGATGTTTTCTGGTTCCTCTGTGGAGACACTTACTGGCTGTCACTGGAGAAGGATGGGTACGATGGTGTTGAGAAGCTGCTCCACCAGGGATAGTGCAGGAGGCCATTCTGAAACACACGAGAGTGGCATCAGCCTTAGGGGGCGGGGACAAAGGACCCACCTCCGTCCTGACGCAGCCACAGGGCAAAGGAAGAGCAGCGGAAAGCGAGGGCTCTGCAGTCAGCCTGGGCTTCCCCGCTGGTCAAAGGGGAGTCACTGAACCTTGCAGTGCCTCATTTCCCCATCTGAGCGACAGACCTGAAGGCAGAGCAGGAGTGACCAGGAGCCCAGCGCACCACCCACCAGAGTGTCCCCCATGCTCTGTGGGGCAGCTCACACGGCCCCTCCCTGCCCTGGTGACCCTGGCTTCTGTCCTCTGGCCACCCAGGCCCTTGGGAAGAGGCCTGCGCTGGGGAGCACCATCTTGCTTCCCCTCACTGGGCCTGAGAGTCACTCTGGCCCCCGAAACGCTCCGCCAGGCTGCTCCACAGAGCCCGGACCCGGAGCCAGTCCCCAGATCCAGTCTCGCCCTGGGACTCAAGATGGGACAGCAAGCTGAGGACCGCCTTCTTCACCCATGGGCACCCCCAACCCTGAGCTCCCCAAGGACCTGCTGACCTCCAGAGGGGAAGCCTTGGCAGCCTCACAGGCCCGGGAGGGAGCAACCTAACCTGGCGGGCGGTGACCCGCGTTTTCAGCTTTTTTATTTCTGCTGTACTGGGGAAGGAAGCCAGCACCTCTGCACTGAGCTACATCCCCTCCCCTTTTCAATTTTTTTTTTTTAAATTTTGAGATGGGGTCTCACTGAGTCTTATCTCTCAGTTACCCAGGCTGGGACAGAACTTTCGATCCTCCTGCCTGTCTCCCAGAGTACTGGGGTAAGTGTGAGCCATGCCAGGCAACTTTCCAGCTTGTCATGGAATGCAAAGTATGTTTATCAAAATAAACAGTGAAGAGGGAAAAAGAACCACAGGTGTCTTCCTAAAGCCAAGGGCCCTGCCTCCCAGGCTTGCGGCTCCATTAACTCTAATGAGGAATCCTCTTTGGGAGCCTCTGGAGTCAGGTGTGGTGCTGTCATCTTAGCACTTAGGAGGCTGAGGCAGGAGCACTGTAACAAATTCAAGACCAACCTAGGCTACATAGCAAGTTCAAAGCCAGGATGAATTACATAGCGGGACCCTGTCTCAAAAAACAAAAGCCTCCAGAAAAAAGCAGAGCCACTGTGTTCCAAGTGGGGTCTCCCTAAGACCCCTGTGTCTCCACAGAGCCCTGGTCTAGGATCCTCCCTACTCCTGCCCAGAGAAAGACAAGGACCTTCCCAAGGTCTCCCTGAGCTGACCTCTGGCCTCCAACCCCCTCAGCCTCGTATATGAACTAGGGTACAGGATCTCCCATGGGAACATACATGTAACAAATCAGCGTGGAAGGCTTCAACATCACTGGATGGTAGGAAAACACAAATTAAAACCACAATAAATGCTCAGCACCCCACCGTCAGCAAGGCCAAGATAAAAAGTGACAACACCAAGTACTGGTGAAAACGCAGAAAAACTAAATCACTAATACATTGCTGACAGGAGTGAAAAATGTTACAGTCCCTCTGAAGAGCAGTCTGACAGTTTCACCAGGCCTGGCGTGGTGGCACACACGTGTTACCCTAGCATTCAGAAGGCTGAGGCAGAAGGACTGCTGCAAGTTCAAGGCCAGCCTGGACTATACAGTAAGTTCATGGCCAGCCTGAACTACATGGTGAAACCCTGTCTCCAAAAACACACAAAAACTAAACACAAAACCCAAAAAAACTACATCAATGGGGAGGCTGAGGCAGGAGGATCGCTGTGAGTTTGAGACCAGCCTGAGCTACATAGTGAGTTCAAAATTAGCCTGAACTGCACAGCAAGACCCTGTCTCAAAACAAATCCAAATCCAGAACTTTTTGAACGCAGGTAACACTCCAAGTGGAAAATTCCACATGACCTCACATGTCAGGTCCCAGGCAAAACACAGGCATAGTAAAAATATTCTATAAAATTACCTTCAGGCCACATGCATAGACATATAGGAAGCACAATGAACTCGGGTCCCCTCCCCAGGGTATCTCATTACCTGTACATCTGTAAATATTCCGAAATCTGAAAAACCTTGACCCTAAAAACACTGTGGATCAAAGCATTCCAACAAGGGAGGCTGCACCTGTGATACACACAATGACCTGGCGAAGCCTCCCGGCATAGTGCCGAGCAGCTGGAGCCAAATAAGCCCCAAAAGCCCAAAAAACACTGGTGTGGCTCTATCCCCACACCATTCTGGAAAGGACAAATTATAAAAATGGAAAACAGGAATGGTTGTTGGTAGTTAGGAGGGTGTGGGCTGGACAAGAGCCAGGTGTGGGCACACAGGTGCAACTTGTGGGCAGCCAGGCCTGGTTCTACCTGCCTGTCATCCCAGCACTTGGGAGGCTGAGGCAGGAGGATCACCACAAGTTGGAGGCCAACCTGGGCTACATAGTGAGATCCTATTTCAAAAAACCAAAACAAAACAAAACAAAGGGCACTATGGAACCTTTGCAGTGACAGAGAAGTCCTCTATCTTGCTGTGTCAAGGACAGTGTCCTGAACTGTGATACTGTGTTACATCTTATGTGACAAGATGTTACCAAGGAGCAGAGCACAGAGAAGTGTTGAAGAAAACTGCATTAATTAGGATTGTATGTGAATCTACAACTACCTCAAAATAAAAAGCTGTTTTTTGTTTTTGCTTTTGTTTTTTGTCTTTTTGAAACGGAGTCTCACTATGGAGTTCACACTGGCCTTGAACTCACTTTGTAGCCCAGGCTGGTCTCAAACTTGCAGCAATCCCCCTGCCTCAGCCTCCCAAGTGCTGGGATTATATGCCCAGCCAAAATAAAAAGTTTAACTGAAAATAAAGTACAAATTCTTTAGGGGCACAGGGAGCACCTGGGCTCAAGGCATGGGCCACATTGAGGGTCCCCTTGCACACCTGCCTGGCACTGCCTTCAAGAAGCCCCAGGGTAAGCCTGGGAGGTGGGACAGTGGGGGACAGACAAAACCCTACTGCCCCAACCTCCTCCCTTAGTCTGGGCTTCTGCTGGGGCTGCCAATAAGGGGCACCCTAGTCCTATGCAATAGGAAAACTGGACACAGCAAGTCAGAGCCTCCCACTCACAGCCAGAGGGGTGACTTCAAGATTAAACAGCAGGCCCTAGTACATAACTGGCCCAGAGATGGGCAGCTGGTCTTGGCTGGCCAATGAAAGTCCACTGGCAAAGAGGAGGGTGTCTCCTTCTTTAGAGGGCAGGTCCCAGAATATGACTGGTCTGGAGATGGGCACATGACTCTAGCTACCCAGAGTCTGCCTGGACACTTCTGGCTTTCCCCTCCAGTGACAGAGGTTGCCCTCTGAGAAGCAGTAAAGGCCTACTCAAGTTCAAGTCCAGCCTGGGAAACTTATAGCAAGATTGTGGCATACACCTGTCACGCCAGCATTCAGAAGGCTGAGGCAGGAGAATCAGTATGGGTTCAAGGCCAGCCTAGGTTACATAAGCAAGTTCAAACCCAGCCTAAACAACTTGACCCTTTCTAAAAAAAAATTTTTTTAAAGGATCAAAAAATTCAAAAAGGCTACAGGGTCCCATGGTTCCTCCCTGGCTGGTACCCCAAGTGGTCTGTGGGGCAATAAGGTAGACACCCTAGGGCAGTCCAAGGTCAGAGACCCTCCTGCAGACTCTAGTGTCTGAGGAGACTCAGGGAAGTTCAGGGTTCACCTAGACACCCCCTTTTTCTGTTGTTTTTTTTTTTTTTTTTGAGACAGGGTCTCGCTATGTAGCCCAGGCTAGCCTTGAACTCACAGCAGTCCTCCTGCCTCAGCCTCCCAAGTGCTGAGAGTATAGGTGTGCGCCACCACACCCAGCTAACCCAGCCCCTCTTGATCAGTGTCCCTATCCTCACAGTTGTGGCTGCAGAGCCTCAGTCCCCTCCTCAGCCTGCTGCCAGCACTCCTTCAGAGCCAGGAGCACAGTTTGGGAAACACCCCAGGGACTAAGCAAGGGGCCAGGAGAACAGTGGTGCTATTTATAGTAGAGGAAAGCTGGACTCTCCCCAAAGGCCAACAATAGGAAGTAATTAAGTGAATGATGGGCTGCAGACAAGGGAGGAATCTTCCAAGGACGAGGGGGGGGCGCCGGGAAGGTGTCCCTGTGACAGCTGGTGGGAAGACCAGGCTGTGCAGGGTTGGGGTCAGGCACAGCCTGTCCAGAAAGGGAGGACAGAGAGGAGCTGGACGCGGCCACGCTGAGCCCGGCCTTGGCCCTGGACGCCGGCCAGGGATTCTGAGCCCCTGCTCCTTGTGGTTTGTGAAACTCCCTTCCCGTTCTACGCTCTGCCGAGGCAGGGTCCCCACGCTCTGCAGCTCCGAGGAACGGAATGCTGGTGGCTGCTTCTTAGTGCAGCAGAAACCAGGAGGGACAGTCCTTGCTGCCGTCTATACCCTGGCCCCCGCAACAATATCCGTGTCCCAGTGCCGCTGGGGTCCCACACTCGGGCAGATGGGCGCGGCCCCTGCTCGGGGCAGCTGGAGGAGAGAGGAGTGGGAGGCAGGGCCAAGGCTGTACTGAGGCGAAGACCCATGGCTGCCGCACCTGTGCAGTCCTGTGATGAACGAGCCACGCTCTGCACCTGCTGTCCCGGCCTTCTGCCGCCTGAGTCCCTGCACCGGTTCACCTACCCTATCTTCTTTTTCCACTATGGCAGGAGCCCCGAGGTGCCAGGAAAGGAGGGTTCTGAGCCCTTCTCCTCATGGGCATCTGTGACAGGAGGGGGTCAGGCTCTACCCTCTAGGAATTTTGTGACTTGTGATACTTTATTCAGTCATCAGAACTCAGAAGGAAGGGTTGCGGGTACAACTCAGTGGCAGAGTGTGCGATCAGCATGCGTGAGGCCCCAGGTTCCATCCCTAGCAGAACAAAACCAAACAGAAGCCAGGCATGGTGGCTGTCATCCCAGCACTCTGGGAGGCTGAGGCAGGAGGACTGCAAGTGCAAGCCCAGCCTGGGCAACTTAGAAAGAACCTGTCTCAAAATAAAAAAGGGCTAAGCAAGACATGGTGGTGTCTTGTGATCCCAGCGCTCGGGAGGCTGAGGCAGGCAGACAGCCTAAGTTCAGGGCCAACTTGGGCTATATAGTGACTCCGAGGCCAGCCTGAACTGGATAGTGAGACCCTGCCTCAAAAAACCTAAACAGATAAATAAGGGCTGGGGATGTAGCTTAACATGTAAGGCCCTGGGTTCCATCCTCAGTCTGTCACCCCCCCAAAAAGAGAGAAGCTTTGGGCCACAAAAAGGGAAGAACCTTAAATACATGTAAACAAAAACAGCTAATCTGTAAAGACTGCACACTGGGCCGGGGGTCTAGCTCAGCGGCATGGCACCAGCCTGGCAAGTGCAAGGTCCTGAGTTCGATTCCTGGTATCTGCCCTCCCCCAAAAAAAATTGCTATGTGCTGCTCAATTCCAGCTGTGGCAGTCTGGGAAGAGAGAACCTGGAAAGATGCACGGTTGCCAGGGTTGGGGTGAGAAGATAGATTGGGGAAGATTTTCAGGGCCCTGAAACTTCTGTGGGGGCCCCCTGAGCCCCACATCATCAAAACTCAGTCAATGCTGAATACCAAGAACAGACCTGAAGGTACACTTTGGACTTTAGTTAATGATAATATGTCAGTTTAGGTGCATTTGTTGTAACCACTCTAAAGCAGGTTATTAGCGCAGGGACAGGGGAAACAGGAGGATACTGGGAACTCTGGTTTCTGAGAACTTTCCTGTAGGCCAAAAATGGCTTGAGAAATAGTCCCCAGCATGATAATACATGCCTGTGCTCCCAGCACTCTGAGAGGCTGAGGCAGGGAGATCCCAGGTTCAAACTCAGCCTGAGCAATTTAGAAATAAGCAAGATCCTGTCTCAAAATAAAACAAGCAAATCAATAAAAAGGGGCTGGGGGTGTAACTCAGTGTGAAGGTCCAGCACCAGAAAAAAAAAGTCAGCTAAGTTGAAGTTTTTTTGTGTTTTGTTTTTGTGGTACCAGGGATTGAATCACCTAGGGGACACAGAGCTACACCTTCAGCCCTTTTTATTTATTTTATTTTGAGATACGGTCTTGTTAAGTTGCCCAGGCTTGGCTTGAACTTGCAATCCTCTTGCCTCAGCCTCCTGCAGAGCTGGGATTACAAGCGTGTGCCACTGTGTTCAACAGAAAAAACGTTTTATTTTATTGACTGATTGACTGATTGTTGGAGACAGGGTCTCGCTATGCAGTTCAGGCTGGCCTTAAGCTCACTTTTGCAGCCCGGGTGAGCCTTGAACTCACAATGATCCTCCTGTCTCAGCCTCTGAGTGCTGGGATTACAAGCGTGCGCCACCACACTTGGCACAGAAAAACCATTTTAAATGCTCTACTCTGACCATCTCCTAGGCTCTACTCAAGTGGTTATTATACGGGCAGCACTGGCAGGGCAGGACAGCACTGAGTGTCCCTCCAAAGGCTGTGACACTTTTGAAAGAAACTTAATGGCAGCATGATATAGGAGCTGGAGGCACAGTGTATGGCAGGAGACCTCTTTGATGACTCAACTGGCAAAGCTAGGGGCTAAGGTTGCCTCCCTTCACCCATCTATAGGACGGGTCTCACAGAGCTCAACTCTGGGCCCAGAAGGTCAAGGTCCAGGTCAAGGCTAAGTTTTCAAGGGCAGTCTCCTCTATAAAGGCCAACTTCACAGTGGAGTGTCAGTGTCACTGTCACCACCACCACATGGCAGGGCTCAGGGAACTAGAGGGGGAACTCACCTGCAGGGGGGGCGGGCTGTACAGGACGCCGGCAGGAGGGGGCTCACGCTGTGGGTACTCCCGGTCCATGGCAAGCCCCACTGCGAGCATCAGGGGCAGGAAACCCGGGGCCGCGGGTGGGCGCGTCTATCTGGGCTTGGAGCTCCGTGGTGGCGGTGGCGGCAGTGGTGGCATCATGCCCTGCAGAGAGAGATGTGGGCGTCCTAAAGTCATCCCGAGGTGACCATACCAGTTGCCTAGCCACCTCTCTCTCCTGCCCTGCACCCCATACTGACATCCACGGTTCCTTCTCTGGCCTCTTCGGCTCAGCTCTGACTACACAGGTGAACGTGAGGCCCAGACAGGGAACCCCTGGGTGAGCAGCAGTGTCAGACTGACCTTGGGATCTGCCGTCTAAGGCCACAGAGGGAGGGTCCACTGTGAGCCAGGGGCGTCCACCAGCAGCCACACAGGGCTGAGTAGTCTCCTGGGGCGGTCAAGGGCTGAACTGAGCCAGAAAGAGCTCTGAGCTTGTTTTGGGGTCAGGGGACACACTGCCCCGCTGAGAACGGTCCTGCCTGGAGGGCACACAGGCCACAGGCCCCACAAGGCCAGACTCCTGAGGACAACTATGAACCCCCCCCAGATTCCCGGGCCTCCCACCAGCTAAGGGCAGGGACCCCAGGCCAGCCTGCGGGGTGGCAGGCAGGCACACTGGGAGGGCGCGGCCCAGGACATTAATCACTGTGGCAGCAGGAAGGGGAGGCGCGGCCACCACTCCCGGCCAAGCCCTGGAGTGTAGAAATCCTCGGGACTTCCAGTAATCGCCGTGCAGCCACACTGTGGGTGCTTGTGCAACGCTGGGGGGAGGGGACAGCGGGCAGGAGCCACAGGGGCCGGGCGCCTGCCCTCGGCTCTGCTCTGCTCCGCCTGCCGCAGAGACGTCAATTCCTGACAAAGGCGACCGGGAAGGAGGCCCCGCTGCCTCCTGTCCTGCGGGGCGAGAGAAAGCCCACAGTGAGCGACCGACACTCTGCATCTGGGATCTTGGCTACTCCTCATTAATAGTCACAGCCTGTGGGACACCCTGGTGGCACCTGAGCACTGCTGAGCCTTAGTTTGCTTCTGGAAATGCGCTGATGCGGCTAAAAGGACAAGGCTCACCAGACCCTGCGGCTGCGAGTGACAGCCCCTTTCCTGACCGAGCGCTGTAGTGAGGGAACCCCCTGCAGCAGGTGCATGGCCACCCAGGGGACAGACAGCCTAGAAAATTGCTCCCAGCAGGCCCCTTCCCCCAGCCAGTCTGGGGTGCTCACTTGGAGTGACATCCCACTCCAAAGGGGACACCTGGGGTGGTGCTCAAGTGGCAGGGCAGTCCTCAAGATTCACGGTATCTATGGTACCCTCTTGGCCTTAAGCCGACCTCTATTACCACGTGTGCCTGGTGGCACTCCCTCCCCTGGTCTCTGCCCACCTGCAGATCCCCAGGTGCCGAGGGTTCCTATGAGCAGTTCCAGTGGCTCAGGCCCCAAAGTGTCAGTCCAGGTGGGAGCAGGATAGGAAAGAGAGCTGGGAGTGTGAGAAAAGGAAAACCCACATCACCCAAAACCGTGCACAAGGGTGCTCACAGTGGCTCATTCATGAGGGCCACAAGGCGGAAACAGTCCAGATGTCCATGGAGGGACACACGCAGCAAGGTCCAGTCACACACTAGAAAATTACTCTTCCAGGAAAAAGGCGAGGCTGTGACACTCGCTGCAGCGTGGACCGACCCTGAGGACACCAAGCTCAGTGGAAGATGCCAAACACAGAGGACCCACAGCGTGGGCTGTGTGGACAGGAAACACCCAGGACAGGCGAGTCCAGGGACAGGAAGTAGCCTCATGGGTGCTGTACTCCATGTCCCTTCCGGAGAAGCTGGCCTACCCTGAACATAACCCCCAATCCTGTAGGGCTCCCCACTCTGTGCCCCTCTGAGGCACCCAGGTGCCTCTGCTCCGGGTGGAGCACCCTCCAGCCTCACCCCACTGTCCCTGGCTCTGCATTCCCCAGATCTCCCTCCTGCACAACCCTTGGCGGCCCAAGACCACGCCACGTCCCAGGGCACCCTGCTGGCCGCAGAATAAGCTCTGCGGGGCAGCAGGCTGGGTCGCGGTATGTGAAGTGTGACACAGGCCCCGCTCTGCCTCCTGGTGCCTATTTTTAGGTGTCCCTGGCCAGCTGTGGCATGGGTTGGTCACTGGATCCCTGCAGGGAGGATGGGCCATGCTTTATAATCACAGCTGACGTTTGAAGGAGCAAGCGGTTTCCTCTGGAAATAGGCTATCAAGTGAGTCATCGGGAAAGGGACCGATTATGGCACGATAGGCCAAGGCGCTGGGACAATGAGTGGGCGGGTAGGGCCTCAGGGCAGACCAGGGCCACTGGAAAGGATCCCAGGACACGCCAGCCACACGCTTCTGAGCCCTTCCACATCCTTCCTCTCCAGCCAGGCCTCGGCAGGGGGTTGCACAGCCTAGGACAAGCCCTGGGCCCTCCCACAGACAGGGAGCCCCATACAACAAGTCCTGTTTCACTGCCATGTGACCAGCGCCATGCTGGGAGGGTCTCCCAAGAACAGGGCTCAGAACTGGGGCCAGGGAGAAGGCCGGGAGCCACCATGCTGAGACCCTGCAGCCTCCTTCTCCAGCCCCAGACAGGCCCCACACTCACTCTTTCCTTCCTCCCTCTGTTCCTTCCTTCCTTCTGTAGTGCTCTGGACTGAGCTATATCCCCAGGCTTTTATCTCTTTTTTTCTCTCTCTCTCTCCCTCTCTCTCCCTCTCTCTCCCTCTCTCTCTCCCTCTCTCTCTCTCCCCCCCATTTATTTATTTATTTATTTTTGAAGACAGGGTCTTGCTAATAATTCAGGCTACCTTTGATCTCTATGTAGCCCAGCCTGGCCTTGAAATCACAGCAATCCTCCTGCCTCAGTTTTCCAAGTGCTGGGAAACAGGTATGTGACACCATGCCCAGCTTTACATTTAATTTTGAGACAGGGTCTCACAAAGTTGTCCAGACTGGGTTCAACCATGTGCTCCTCCTACCTCAGCCTCCCGAAGTCTCGTGCTGGGATTGTACGTCTGCACTGCATCTGGCTTCTTTTCCCCCTAGTGCTGAGGATGAGCCCTAGAGAAGTGCCCACAGAGCCACTCCACACTCCCATGCTGGCACTGATGGAAACAGAGGCCCCTGGGACCCTGACTACACTTCAAAGCCACGTTCAGAAGCGTAAGCCCCAGAGGGCAGTTGCAGTCATGATGACAGAGATGTACAGGGGCCGCTGTATGGACCTTGAGGACCTCAGGGCCTGATGGTCATCCCTCAGCCACAAGTTCCTGTCTCTGTGGTCTCACCAGCAAGGACCAGGTGGCCCATGTCCTGGGATCTGCCTGAGAAGGTTCTGGGGACCCAGACATGGAAGCCACGCGATGGGCAAGGCAGATTTCGCAAGGCGGGGGGGTTTGGGGCGGAGAGCCCCGCTGCACCCGTACACCTGGCCAGCCCTAGCTTGGGCACTAGGACTGTGTGGTCAGGAAGGGAAACCTTGGGCCCCAGCCCGGCTGTGCAGAAAGGGCTCTACTGTCCCTCCACACAGAGGCCAGGGTCAGGGAGCCCCTCCACAGTGCGGCCATGAGCTTCTGTGAGGCCTGAAGGGCTGCAGCCCACCTGGCAGGGGTCTCTCCCCAGCACAGACATAAGCTCAGGATGTCATGAGAGCTTCAGACCCTTGGGGTAGGTGCAGGCAGAGAAGCTGAAGCTGGCAGAATGGATGGATTGGTCAGTAAAGGGATGGGAGCATGCTTCCTGGGATGGGACCAGACCTGACTGCGGCGGCCACGGCTTTACCCCAGGCGAAGTGCAGGATGCACCCTGCCCCAGCTGGGAGGCCCCCGCACCCCAGGTGCCTGCATCAACACGGCCTGCCCCCAGGGGCCTCGTCTACCCTCCTGAGCTGGGCACCAGCCACCGCCTCTTGCCTGGCCTGGCTCAAGATTGACCGGTTACTCGCCCAGGACCCTGCAATCCTAGGTCAGCCACATCATGCAGCTCTGGGTCCTCAAGCTCAGTGCAGGGACTCCTGCTGGTCCCTAAAGTGTACTGGTACCATCCTACTAAGTCACCCAGGCTGGGCTCGAACTTGAGAACCTCCTGCCTCCTCCTTGCAGAGTGCTGTGGGTTCCAGAGAGACTCTTTCAATAGGTTTCACAGTTGAAGCCACTAGTGCAGTCAAACAAATTATTGTGATATGCTGGGTCAACCAGTGGCCCCCAGGGGGCAGGCCCCAGGAACCGGAAGGGGAAGGACAGATCTCCAGTCAGGAGGGACCTTTCCAGAAAGTTTATGAGCACAGTCCTCGAATACAGATCCCATGTGTGTCCCATCTACCAAGACCAGGGCACAGCCAGGTGTTGAGGACCCAGTCAGAGCCGGTGAAAGGACTCCTCATGTCATACAAACAGTTGCAAGGCAGGTATGGTAGCACACACCTCCCGTCCCAGCACTCTCGGGGCTAAGGCAGGAGGATCGAAAGTTCTAGCAAAACTTGGGTGACTCAGTGATTTAGAAAGATCCTGTCTCAAAATAAAGACTAACAAAGGCTGGGGATGGAGCTCAGTGTGAAGGCCCTGGGTTCCACCTTCAATACAGCAGAAAACAAAAGTTCTCAAGTTCACCGCCAAGCTCACTGGGAATCGTGCAGAGAGCCACCAGGCATCCTGGAGGCGTCTGCGAAGTTCACAAAGCGGCAGATGAGGACCCTCCCTCCCGGTGGAGGCCTCCAGTGGCTCTGCAGGCTCAAGAAAGAATGATCAGGGCAGCAGGGCCTCGCCTGGGGGTGAAATCCTACCACTCCCTTCCTGCAGGGCCTGGCGACTGGCCAAGGATCAGGGACACCCTGTGGCCATGCTCCCCATTAGCTCCCCTGCACTGGCTGGCTGGGCTGGATGGACAGGTGGCCATCCTGACCCAACACCAGGCCAGGCCCTCACAGCTGCACCAGCTGCTCCCCCGCCCCTCCGAAGGCTGCGGAGTCTGACAGGAGAATGGTGATGGGGGCCGGCCTAGCCCCTTGGTGCCTCAGAAAACAGGTCTTCTGACAAGCACTTTCTTTTTTTTTTTCCCCCCTGTAGTACTGGAGATTAAACCCAAGGCTTCTGCAAC